GAACAGCCGAACTGCAGTCAGCTGAAGTAGCCTGCAGTGCTGCACTCTAACCACTGCGCCACCTCGGCTCTTGGCGTCCTGAAACTGGCATTGAGGGAAGTATCCCGAAACCATAAACCTGGCTCACCCTTTTTCTAGATCTAGTTCCACCTTAGGCATGGAAGCCAGCTGAGCGACTTTGGGGCCCATCACTAGGACACAACTGTGGCCCAAAGTTTCTGTTGTTAAGTGAGACATTTGAGTCATTTCTACCCCATTTTGCGACCTTCCCTGCCGCGGTTATTAGGTGAAAGGCTGCAGCTGTTAAAACGAGGGTCGGAGTTGGTTCAGTCAATCCAGCTTCCCCCACTGACTTGGCTTGCAACGAGTGTACGAGTCGTTTTGCCAAGCTGAATTTTGACCCCGGGATGCTGCAAACGTTCGTTAAGCGTGAGAAACGAGGAGTCACTGGCCACTTTTTCAAGCGGTCACTAACTTCGGTCACTAAACAAACTGTTGCGAACCGAGACTATCAAGATCTTCTCCAGGGAAGAAAAAATACCATGAAAACATCCCAGCCATCATACAGATTACGTATTACCTGCAGATTTTTTAAAAAATACTGAGTTACTATACTCTTCTGCTGGACATTTAGGCCAATTAACCTAGGGATATCATTTAAGACAGAAGGGGAAAGGAAAGCGAAAAGCTTTGGGCAACAGCCGAACGTTTGAACTCACAAGAGACACGGACGCGGAGGAAGAGGAGTGCAGAGGAGAGGAAGGAGCAGGTGATGGAGCCAAGCACTTGCCTCTTACAAGGCCCCCGAGGAGCCTTCGGGCTGGTCAGAGTGGCCAGCTGCCTGCCTCTTACAGCACAGACCACACGAGCTCACACGCGTGTGTCTGCCTCGGGCACGGCAGGAAGCCTCCCGCAGCTGCGGTGACATGCTACCACACCGCGGGTGTAATACCACACATCTCTAGAATATGAACACACGTGGAAGAAAAAAAGGAGGGCGTTTCCTCAGGACACATCCCACCACGCAAACCGGGTTTTGTTTTTTTTTGTTTTTTTTTGGGCCGGTTAAGACCGACACGCGTTTTGCCCTTTTCAACCTGGTGTACCACGGCGGGCTGCGGGATCGAAGGGCAGCGGGGAGCTGCCCGCGCGGCTCTCGGGTGCCTCTGGATAGATTACAAGCATCGCAAAGACCGCCTCTGGCTCTGGATACCAAACACGAGTTTACAGAACTAAAAAAAAAAAAAAAAAAAAGAACGTAAAAAATAAAAAGATCTTATGAGCTGAAGGTGGCCGTTGGGATTCCTCACCGCTCGTTAAGAGACATCTTGCTGGTGCTCTTAAGCACGACTTTCGGGGCTGACTGCGTGGCCATCTCCGGTGCCCAGAACCTGCGCAAAGAAAGGAGGGTGTTATTACAAGAGCCCGGTTTATTTATTTATATATCCTGCCTTTAATATTGTTTTTTTTCAAAGAGCTCCAGCTGGCAGACATATCCAAGGCGCTTTCTCCTTCCTATTTTCCTCCCAGCAATAACCCTGTGAGGTATTATTTATTTACTTATTTTATTTATTTATGGGGTTTGTATGCAGTCCACTCTCAAGAGACTCAGGGCGGCTTACAAATAAAAAGGAAGGGGGAACATACAAAAAAAATAATAAAAAACATTAATAGCAATAGCAATAGCAGTTCGACTTATATAGCGCTTCATAGGGCTTTCAGCCCTCTCTAAGCGGTTTACAGAGTCAGCATATCGCCCCCACAGTCTGGG